AAAAAAAAAAAAAAAAAAAAAAAAACTCCAACCAACAAACAAAAAGAGAAAACAAAGGGAAGTCTTTATAAGAGCTGGATGTATCTGTCCTATTACAGCTTGAATATGATCATCTAGATTTTAGAAGATATTAAATGCTTCCTGTTCTAAAACTTAATTAATTCCACTAGGCATGGAAGAGCCCGTTTAATCCTTGCTTAATTATTACTAAAATTAAACTTCTCTTTTGATAGCTGGGCTATTACTTCCTCAGAAGATTCCTTTGTGTAAGTTAGAGAAAAGCTGCCTTCTCTGGGGAATGCAGCTGCCCGGCACCATGGCGTGGCTAGTGTGTGATGTCTTGTGAACCTTAAAAAGGAGGATTCCTTCCCTGTGCAGACAATGCTTTCATCTGGGCACAAGGCTTGGCTGTAGGAGCACATGCTGGGTTCAGCCCTAATCTGCCCCCACTGTCCTGCTTCGTTATGCAGCCCATGATCTGCCTAATCAAATAATGGCCAGCAGCCCTGATCATTATGCAGGAACCCCAAAAGAACCCTGCCCTGGAAGGAAGCACGTCTTCATCCTTGCTCCTTCATTTTTAAAATGTATACATTTTTTAGTTGTTTAAGTCCTTTTTGTTTTGAATTTCCTTTTAATGAAGGAAGCTAGCCAGTGCAAAGGGGATAGGTATCAGATGCCTAGCTTCTCTAGAATTATTTTTGTGTTGATTTAGGAACCACTGAGGAGATAGAATAACGGTTTCTCCATTATTAAGGATTGCTCTAGATGGTCAGTACATGTGATAACCCCTACAGTACCAGCTGAGTCTTAAGGCTGAGAAGTTCAAGGACTGTTGAATATAGCTGCTTTGGTTTTAGGACCAGCCTTGCTTACAGCATGGTATTTAGTATGTGGTTAATGTTTTCTCTTCGGCTGTTAGTATATATTTTTTCTCTGTTATGTAGAGTTTTTAGAGCAGTTCTTAGAGCAGTTTCTGCTCTGTTTCAAAGCAAACTGAACCAAAAGTAGAGTTCCCATATGTCCGCTGTCCACCCTCTCCCCCCATCTCCCCCACTATAAACACTCCACACCAGAGCGGTATGTTTGTTACAACTGATGAACTTAAATTGACATTATTATCAGTCAAAGTCCATAGTTTATTTTAGGACTCATTGTTAGCATATATTCTATGGGTTCTGACAAATATGTAGTGACATGTATTCATCATTAGACATGTCATACAGAATAGATTCACTGCTCTAAAAATCCTGTCTCCTGCCTATCTGTCCTCTGCTCCCCCAAACCCTAACAAGCACTAATCATTTTACTGTCTCCATAGTTTTGCCTTTTCCAGAATGTCATATAGTCAGAATCATACCATGATGCAGCCTTTTCAGATCTTTCACTTAGTAGTATGCATTTAAAGTCCCTCAACGTTTTTTCTTGGCTTCATAGCTTATGTGTGTTTTTTTTAAATCACAGAATAATATTCCATTGTCTGGTTGTACCACAGTTTAGTTATTTATTCACCTACTGAAGAAGGTGAACTTTGAAAACTTGAACTTTCCTTCAAGTTGTAGATGTTATAAATAAAACTGCTAGAAATATCTATGTTCAGGTTTTTGTGTAGACGTAGATTTTTCAGTTTATTTGGGTAAGTACCATGGAGCACAATCGCTGGATCATATGGTAAGAGTATATTTAGTTTTGTCAGAAACTGCCAAACCGTCTTCCAAAGTGGCTGAATCATTTTGCATTCCCCACCAGCCATGAATGAGAGTTCTTGTTGCTCCACATCTTGTAAACATGTGGTATTATTATTTATGTATGCTTTGGATATCGGCCATTCTAAAAGGTATGTAGTAGTCTCCTTTTATTGTTTTAATTTGTATTTCTCAGATGACGTTAATGTGAAGCATTTTCTCATAGGCTTATTTGCCATCTGTATATCTTCTTTGATGAGGTATCAATTCAGGCCTTTGCCTCAGTTTTGGATTGGGGTTGTTTTCTTATTATTGAGTTTTAAGTGTTCTTTGTATGTTTTGTATTACATGTTTTTAATCAAATATGTCTGTTGCAAATAATGTCTTTCAATCTGTGGCTTGCCCTTTTAGTCTCTTGAGGCTCTTTCATGTTTAGTCATGTGATTTTGAACAAGGTTTTAGGCATTTTCCGCTTTAGTTTCTTCAAATCTATCCTGGAACCATTTACCTTCTCTCACAGAATCATTGCAATCATTAAATTAGCAAATGCATACAAAAGGGCTTTAAGTTATAAAGGGTGATGCAAATAGAAATGTACTATTAGTGGTGTGACTAATAAGCCATAGGTAGTCAACTTATTTTTTTTGAGTCAACATATAAATATAACATTTATATGGTGACTGCTGGGTTTGTCCCACAAGTGCTGCCATTATCAGAGACATCCTAAGGTAAATCTTCTGCTGGTATGGAAGTAGGAGTTTATTGACTAATAAAGAAGAAAAGTAAGAAGCTGCAGCCCCAAAATCTTTGGAAATAATTGTGTATCTCATTCATATCCTGTGAAACTGGAGACATAAATCATTCACTTTAAAGCTTGAATTTTTCTAGTAAAAGATATTTTTTTGTCCTATTTGGCATTATGACAGTGTGAGAGTAGAAAATAGCGTATTTGTTTTTGGTGACTATATAGTTACCTGGATTGGTTACTGAATGAAAGAGCTCTTCATTTGCTCTGCTCAGTTAAACAAATATCTGTGAAGATAAAAATCAATATTTATTATGGTTTTACGTATGTTTAGTTTACATTTGGAAATTATGAAGTTAACTGTAGAGTCTCTTTTTTTCTCTATCTCAAAACACACACACACACAATCACATACACATACACACACAGTTTTATAAATGCATGAATATTTATGTACAGAGTTCCCAGAAATCAGAACAAACAGGGTTTAGCAGATGAAGTTATACTCTACCATAAATTGCTCTTTGATTTTAATTATGAATAAATAAGATTAATGATGATGATGCTTCTCCTGCTGCTGCTACAACTATTTCTGCTACTAGCAAGTGTTTATTAAGAATTTAATATGAGCCAGGCACTTTTCTAAGAACATTACATAGATGCACAAACACAGTTAATTCTCACAACTTTAGGAGGTTTATTGATGAGGAAATGAAGGAAGAGAAGGGGAAAGTAACTAGAAAATAGTGGAGAGTGGATTGGCACCCAAGGAGTCGGATTCTGGAGCCAGTGCTATAAAAGGCCATATAATATAGTTTCCCAGTAGTAATGGTGTATGCATAGATTTTAAGGAAAAAGTCACTTAAAGCTGCTTCTTTGGGGTGATCGCTGAATTTAAAAATGTTGAGGCATTTGTTTAAATTAAAGGCTTTTAAATTTCAAGGATGAAATGACAGGTCATAAGACCAATAGGTCATAAGGGTGTTTATTTAGTAGCAAATATATGTTGAATCCTTTAGCTCTCTCTCCCCATTTTGCACAATTCCTGAATGTTTGTTAAACAGGATAAGATTAATTAAGGAAACTTAAGAAATGTAGAGGATAGAATTAGCCACTGTGGATGTTCTGCGTGTGTAAGTTGTGTGTGCGTGCAAGTGTTAACGTAGGCAAATAAGCATGTGAAACACAGAGCTTCAATGTTAATTTTAACATTTAATTATCCAAAGAAGATCCCTTTTTAAACATGCACTTTGGAGTCTGTGTAGTGATCTTTTCTTTTTCCCTAGGCACTGAAAATGAAGATGCTAGAAGGGACTACAACAGCGATAATCAAGCAAGTTGGATTCATCGTATGATAATGGCCTTGGTGAGTGATTCAGCTTTATTCAATACCAGAGAAGGACGTGCTGGGAAGGTGCACAACTTCATGCTGGGCTTGAATCTCAATACATCTTATCCACTGTCTCCTTTGAGTGACTTTGCCACACAGGATTCCTTTGATGATGATGAACTGGATGCAGCTGTAGCAGGTAAGTGCACAAAGTATAATCCGTGGGAGCTAATTCAGGAGATCTGTATTCCTTGTCTGGAGAGAGGCATTTTAATTATTATTAACCCTCATGTATTCTCAATTATTACAAGCTGCATTTAATGTGTGAAGGGCTTCAAATTATTAGAGTTATTTTTATTGTTGTTTCTTTGTATTTTTGAGACAGGTTCTCACTCAGTCTCCCGGTGGCACAATCATGGCTCTTCGCAGCCTTAAATTCCAGGGCTGCAGCAATCCTCCTACCTCGGTTTCCTGAGTAGCTGGGACTACAGGTGTGCACCACCATACCCAGCTAATTTTTTTTTTTCATAGACACAGGGTTTTGCCATGTTGGCCATGTCTCAAACTCCTGGGCTCGAGTGATCCTCCTATCTTGGCCTCCCAAAGTGCTGGGCCTACAGGCAGGAGCCACTCTGTACCGGGCCTGGATTTTTTTTTTTTTTTTAAAGAAAAATTTACATTGGATGGAAAATGATCTACACGTCAGTATAGAAAATCTGCATTCAAATGTTGAGGGGGACAGCTGGGCACGGTGGCTTATGCCTGTAATCCTAGCACTGTGGGAGGCTGAGACAGGCAGATTACCTGAGCTCAGAAGTTGTTCAAGACCAGCCTGAGCAACATAGTAAAACCCCACCGCTACTAAAAAAACAAAAAAATACAACAAAAAAAAAATTAGCCGTGCGTGGTGGCACACACCTGTAATCCCAGCTACTCAGGAGGCTGAAGCATGAGAATTTCTTGAACGCAGAGGAGGAGGTTGCGGTGAGCCGAGATCATGCCACTGCACTCCAGCCTGGGCAACAAGGCGAAATTCTGTCTCAAGAAAAAAAAAATATTGAGGGGGACTTTAGATTTTCTCTGTACTAGTCACAGTTCATTTGAAGAAATTAGGAAACTACTTCCTATTTTCTGAAAGGGATTTGAGGAAGAGAATTAAGTGCTTATAAAATTGTTCCAAACCTTGAGGGAGCAAGCTTTAGGCTGAGCTTTCAGGAATGACTCAAAAAGTACTTCAGAATCATCCCCATAAATGCCTTGGCAACTATGCTTGGCAGAGGAAATAGCAGAAGTGTAGCTTCTGTCTCATTTTTTTTTTCAGGTTTTATACAAGTGTTTCTCTTTGGTAGAGGCCAGGTCTCAGGAGAGCTGGAGCTGTAAGGGACTCTGGCAAACACATTCCTTAGCCTGACTCCCTAGTGCAATGTAGGGTGTGAGTCAGCCAGCCTGTGCTGTTCATTAGGCTATTGGATCTGTCTCTCCTGTTCTCAGAAAGGTTAGGTAACTTTCTTAAAGCTGCCCAGCAAGAACCTAGTCACTTTCAGATTTGTCACTTAGCCAAATCCTCAAGAATAATTCCCTTTGGGCTTCAATTCCATGCCTGTTACAGATTTAAAGTTAAATCTGCTTTGGTGACCAATCAATACATAACAATTTTTTGGTGATAATTCTGTCATCTTAAGTTTTTATAGTTCGCCACACCATCATCTTTTCCTTAATGTCCAAATGTTATTATTCCTCAATCACATCTGTCTAAAGACATTTTGACTAGATGCAGGAAAAATTCAAATGGGCTATTTCCAAAAAAAAATTTCTACTGCCTTTTTGTTTAAGCATCATACCTAGAACATACTTGTGAAATTTAGGATATAGTTTTGGATTTTGCTGTTGTTTTGGTATTGTTTCTTTCTGTTGTTTGACCCCTTAAAAGGAATTGTAGAGGCAAAAATGACCCCTGTTGTTTAAATAAGATTAGTGCAAACCCGTTATATATTTTTTTTATGTTTATGGCATTAAACTAGGATATGAGGTATGTCTGATTATATACCTATAATCCCAACAGGATTCACTAAGTTGTATAGTATACTAACTATTGTGTTAACTATAATGAAATTCTGTCATCAAGTCAGTATCTATTTTTAAATTCATCCAAAATAAGAATATACTTAACTATACATTCAGTGACATTATTTTTTTGTTTAGTCACATAACTATGCTTATTGCCATCGCAATGCCAATTAAATGTCTCTTCCAGAAATGTATGCTTTATAGATGAATGATGATGAGCTTAAAAAAAACTACAAGCTCATACAGCATGTCGATATAGAGAGAATCTTCAGTTGTTTTACTCTATAGAAAAGGAAGATCAAAGAAGATAATTCTATCATCTTTGCCTGAAATTTCCCAACAGAGTTGAGATTGGGACACAGGTTTCTTGACATTGCTTCTAAGCCTTTCCCTTGGCCACACAGCATTCCCCATAGCTGCCCTTGGTTTTCTTAGTCACCCACTTATGTAAAAATGGAAGTTTTCTTTCTGTATACTTTATGCCATCTGTCTTACGTTATTACTTGTATTGCATCAGCCAGCACAGCTCTTTATGTAATGCCGTATTTGGGGATGATTGATAGTTTATATTTCCTTATGTTCTTTTATGAAAACTGTCTATAACTCTTCTTTCAAAGGTCACTAAATTCGAATTTCAATTTCAATTAGAATTTCATTATAGTTAACATAATGAAATTTTCACAGCACATTTTTAAAAACTTCCTGGTAGATTTGGAATATTTTATGTAGATTTGGTGGTGTTGGGGTAACCAGATAAAATACAGAATACCCAGTTAGATTTGAATTTTAGATATGTATATAAATAATTTATATATGATTTTTGCAGCATTTGGGATGTACGTTAAATAATTGTTGATTATCTGAAATTCAAATGTAACCAGGCATCCTGTATTTTTATTAGCTAAATTTGGGAACTTTAGGAAGTATACCTCTTCCTTTTAAATTATTTTGCATTTTCATCTTCCTTCTGTCTTTTGTTCATTCTTTCATTCACTTAGATTTATTTATTGAGTACTTACAATGTGCTTGGTTCTTGGGATACAGTAGTCAATAAGATAGAATCCTTGGCCTCATAAAGATTAAAATCATTTAATGGCCTTTCCTCAAAGTTGTCATTCATGGAAGGACTTAAGTACTATACTTTCGTTAACAGTGATGGAAAAGTAGAGTAAAACTAAAACATAGAACGCTGATTCTGACGGAACAGTAAGTTAGTGAGGCTCCATCAACATTAATTGAGGACACAACTGCAAGACTAAGTATATGAGTTGAGGGCTGCACACAGTGGCTCCCAGCACTTTGGGAGGCCAAGGTGGGCAGATCACCTGAGGTCAGGAGTTCAAGACCATCCTGGCTAACCTGTCTCTACAAAAATATAAAAATTAGCTGGGTGTGGTGGCACATGCCTGTAAACCCAGCTACTTGGGAGGCTGAGGCAGGAGAATTGTTTGCATCTGGGAGACAGAGGTTGCAGTTAGCTGAGATCACGCCACTGCACTCCAGCCTGGGCAACAGACTGAGACTTATTCTCAAAAGCAAAACAAAAAAAGGAATATGACTTGAATGTGGGTGTTCGCATTTGGAGAATAATAGTTGTACATCACCTTGTCTGACTCCTTTCTTCATTTAATGCCCTTTGAAAGAAGAGTTATAGACAGTTTTCATGAAATAACATAATTTCCTTATGTTATAAACTATCAATCATCCCCAAATGTGGCATTATATAAACCAGTTTTTTTGAGATACTTGAAAATGTTCTAAACTAAAATTATTTTAAATTAATGATGTTTGGAAAGAACTTTAAATTTTATTTCTCAGTGTGCATTTTATTTAAATTACATTTTATTCATTTTTATGTATTTAATAGAAAAACATGTATGTGGGGTATTGATTTCAGTTAAAAATTTAGTCAGTTCAGTCAGTTCACAGATGTATTCAACTTTATTATTTACAGGCCAACATTGCTAAAAATAATTTCATTTTAGACTGAATTTACTGAATTGACTAGTGCTTTTTCAGAAAAGGTCCTTGCAAAGGTAGATCTAGTTTACCTCCCTCTGGTAGTTTCCAATTTTTAGAATAATCATATGTTTGGAATGAAAAGTTAAAACATTTATCATAAACTGTGATTCATTTTGGTTCATAAGGTCTTCCTTAAAATTCCTATTTTAAAGAATGCCAACTAAAATTTTTAGCCACATTTGAAACATTAATTAAGCACATTTTTTTAAATTTTGCAGCCCCCATGCAAAAAAAGATTTTATCCAATCTAGATATTATGTTAGAAAAATGTTTATATAAATTAAAGTTTGAGTATCTTAGAATTAAATCAGTCTCTCAACCTAAAATCAGGAAAAGTGCACTATTTTTGTGCCTGCTACTTCACCTTGCGGACTATATTTTGTAAACAATAGAAATTGCAATATGATAAAATTCCCCTCCTGCGTTTACTGCAAAATAGTTGTGTACCTGTGGAAACAAATTTTGGAGAGCTTTTCATGAGTCATATGACTTGTTTCCTGTTTACTTTTGTGTTTATCCTATTTACTGTGACACACACCATCTGGAAATAAGAAATAAAGACATGAGTTAGTTTAGGCCAGAGTTCAAAACACAGACATCCAAATATTTGAACATGGAAGCTGTGTGATGTATTTATAAAATGACCATTTACAAATAACCAAAGCTGATCTGCTTTAAGGAACTGTTACATAATTCTAAAACAGAGTTATGTTTCCACAACCATCAGAGAACCCCATTAACTGATTCACAAGTTTAGAATCCTTGTATGTTTTTAAATTATGGGTGGATATTCTTCCATAGTGGCATTTACCCAATACTCTACGACATTTTAGTAGATGTTATACAATAAATCGGGTTCAAGTTCAAATAAAGTTGGAAAAACGTACAACTCACTCTCCCGTTTCAAATACAGTGAGATACCCTCCTGAGTTTAAGTCTTACAGGTGCTTGAGGATAGTACTTTAAAAGGAGACTGGCCGATATTTGAATCTCAGTTGGACCCTTTACTAGCAGGCAGTCTTAGCCAGTCACTTAGCCTAAACCTCAATTTATTTATAAAATAAAAATAATAATGGTACCTATGTTACAGAGTTATTTTGAGGACTGTAAAGTGCTGTTAGTGACAGCCATAGGAAGGAGAACAGGGAATGCGCAGTATCACTGGCTAGTGCTTTAAGTTGTTGAACTTTGCCTTTCTGTAGACGTGACCGTATTTACTAGTGGCACTCTTATTCTGTATATGAGGCATCAGTTTATATCTTGCATAACTAGGCTTTTTGCAACACAGTTAGGAAACACCGCTTACTGGTTTTGTGTTTTTTTTGTTGCTGTTTTTTGTGACACGGATGAACTTAGTGGACATTATGCTAAGTGAAATGAGACAGACACTACATGATTTCACTGGTAATGTATAATCTGAAAAAGTTGAACTCAGAAGTAGAAAATAGGATAAAGGTTACCAGAAGCTGGGGGGAATTTGTGGAGGAGGCAGTAGATGGAGAAAGAGGAGGCCTTACTGAGAGGACACAAAGTCTCAGTGAGACAGGAGGAATAAGTTCTGTGTATCTACAGCACAGCATGGTGCCTGAGTTAATAATAATGTGTATTTCAAAATAGCTAAAACAGAGGATTTAGATGTTCTTACCACAAAGAAGTGATAAATATTTGATGTTATGAATATCTTCATTACTTGATTTGATTATTCCAAAATGTATACATGTAATGAAACATCACATTGTACCCCATAAATACACACAATTATTATTTGTCTACAAATAAAAATCATTTCAAACATAAAACAGAAAATAAAAGGAACACTACTTACCGTCAGTTTATCTTGAAGGTGGGAATGGTGGTGTTTAGTTACAAACCAAAGCTGGGAATTGGTCCACATGATTTTTCTCTCAAATGTACGCCCTCTTGGATTTGAGAAAGAATAGAAGGTCACTACCAGTTTCCTGCTAAGGGACAAAGCAAACAGGATATCAGAGAAATGATCTGTTTTTGGTTACACTTTCAGCTAAAACCGTTTTAAAAACTGAGTTTATGAAGCCCCCTCCCCCAAATTTATGAATTGTAATTATACTTGCATTAGAGCAGGGAAAAGCATTGCATGTAAAAATACAATAATCCTTCCTCCCTTACTCAGGGTTTCAGGTTTCTCAGTTTTAGTTACCCGCAGTCACCTGTGGTTGACCACAGTTTGAAAAAAATAAAAAATTCCCGAAATAAATAGTTCAGTGTTTAAGTTGCATGCAGTTGTGAGTGGTATAAAGAACCCTCATGCCATTCCTCCTGAGAGGTGAAACATCTCTGTCCAGGCTCAATATGCTGCCTACCCGTTAGTGACTCCGTGGCCATTCAGTTCATCAGCTTGGCTGTCACAGTATCACCGTCTCTGTATTCAAGTAACCCTGTTTTTTCTACTTAAAAATGGCCACAAAGTGCAAGAGTAGGGATACTGGCATATTGTTACAATTGTTCTCTTTTTTTACTACTGTTGTTAATCTCTTACCGTGTCTAATTTATATATTAAACCTTATCATGGGTATGTATATGTAAGAGAAAACATAGTATATGTAGAGATTTGTTCTATGCAGTTTCACACATCCACTGGGTGGGTCTTAAAACATATCCCCCCAAGTAAGTAGGGACTGCTGTGCTGCCATGATTGTGTTTTTAAATGTTAGGTTTAACTGTGATAAAATACACATATTAATGTGGTTTAAATATGTGATAGGATTATGTGCTGAGAGCCTCTATACTTTGTAGTTATTATTTTTTATATTACTCATTTTAAACCCTCTTATTCAGTCATGCCACTTTCTAAAGTAATAGTGTGACACTGTGCTTAGGGCTTAGACCTTGTGAACCTGGATTGGAATTTTGACTCTCACTATCTGTTTGAAAATAGACCATTTATTTTACCTCTTTGAGCCTCAGTTTCCTTATCTTTAAAATGGCTACTTCCTTTGTAAGATTCTGTTTTCTTATCTTTAGTCTCCTTTGTAAGAGTCTTGTAAGAATAATAAATCTTATATATCAAATTTCTGTTACATAATAGACTCAGTATAAATGAAGTCACCATTAGGAGAAATATGAGTAACCAACTAATGAATTTCCAACTTTTTAGTAAAATGTTTAAAAATGAATTTAAGCCAAAGACTCACTATTTTTACCGTTAAGATGTTCACATATGCAATTGTTAAATTAAAATTTCAGAGGAATAGATGTCAAAAATGGGCTTGACAGTCTTTTTATATATTTCAGTATTACATCTTTACATTCCTGGTTCTGTGATAGATAGTCTAGTATCATGGCTGGTGGCAAAGTGCATTCTCATGACTGTCTGTAGATACTTATTAAGAAATGAGAATTGATCTACAGGTAATTATTTAAAGAACTATTTCTCTTCTCTCTCTTTGTTGCCCTATAAGTTAGCTTTGGACACAGCAAGCCTTTATTATTTGGCCATATTACCTTATACTTGCTTTTAAAAATAGCTTTATTTTCAGCATAGTTGTTTTTAATTCAAGACCATTATTCACACCTTTCCTCTTTGCATCACTTATTCTGGGCTGTATGAATTGCCTCAGTCATAAAATTTACTCTTCCTTATTTATAAGCATCACTAGTAAGTGTCTGTAACATTCATATGTTATCCCATTTTAGAAAAGGGAATTTTTAATAGACGTGAGAAAACAGATGACTTTGCTACCTGTAGAAAGTTAGAAGGATATTAATGTTTCTTAGTATTAAAAACTATGCTGAAGTCTGATTTTTCACTTTACACTGAATAAAATATTATGACTGTCTCATTGATGTTTTTCTTTCAACCTTTACTGATAGTGAGGATTATGGATTTAACTGGACAGGAAGAATTTAAAGATTTTCTTTCCTTTTTGGTTTCATGCTCTTAAAACATAATAAAACTGACTATAGAGTGATAGTATTATTCTTACTTAGAAACATATGGAGGGAAGCTAACATACACTCGGTTCCTACTGTGTGCTGAGTGTGTATGTGTGTACATAGGTATCAGGTCATATGTACGTATTTGTATCTGGTGTGACCATCTTCACTTCATTCTACTGTCACAGGCCTCCCTCTTGGGCGTAGCCAGCCTTCTTCCTAACAGCACAGGAAATGAGAGTGTGGACAGGTAACAGAGACAAGCAGCTGCATGGCGTTTTATTCAGTTCAGTTCAAACCAGTTCCCTTCTGGTCATGTTTTGTTTTCCTGGCAAGTGAATTAGGAGCACCACACATACACATGAAGGGTGGCATGTTATCAGTATTATTTCTTCATGGAATTAATGATCTCTAGGCCCCCCGTTTCTTCAGACCCCTGCTATCTCACTTTGATCTCCTCCCATCCTGTCCGCAGACTGCGGGCTCCCTGCTGTCTCTCCTCAAACACACCCAGCCTGATTCTGCCTTCGGACCCTTGCTCTAGCTCCTCCCTCTCTCTGGAAACCTCTGGATCCCACCCTCCCAGTCTTTAGCTGGCAGCTCCATACCATTATTCTTGTTTCAGGGTAAGGTTTCCTTCTCAGAGACATCTCCCCTGACCATCCAGCTGACGTGACTCCTTACGACAGTGTCCTTGATCATTTTCTTCAAGGCATTGATCGCTTTAGGAACTGTCCTCTTCATACATTTATGTACTTATTGGCTGTGTACTCACAATATGAACTCTATCAGAGAAGAGCGTGCATCTATCTTGTTCAGCATCTAGAATCGAATCTGAATGGTGGTAGACATATCTGCAGAGTGTGTTGGCTGCATGATTTTCTTGGACTCCTACCCTGTGGTGGAATGTACACTCACCCCCAAGAGAGGCAGCATGGGATCCGTAGAGTCTGCCACCTCCCTGTGATGCCAGCTTTGAGAGACTCTTCATTGGCTTCGCCCTCCATTACAGCTGTCCTCTGCCTCACCTGTTATAAGAATTAAACAAGATTATGCATGAGGAAATGTTTAGAAACCTGTAAAGACCTATGCCATATACGATAATGCTGTTCACATGATCCCAGCTTAGAGTTAATACCAGCATGTGAGCTAAGTGCTTTCCAGGCCTCATCCCAGTAAATCCTCACAGCAACCTTATTTGATAATTACTTTTGTCCTGATGCTACAGGGGAAGAAACTAAGACTTAAATATAATGTTACAATTGCTAAAGTTGGTCTCATACGCAGCTCTATTTGTCTCCAAAGCCTAAGGGCCTCATCATATGAAATTCTGTCTTTCAAATTTTAAACAAAAGTTTTTAGCTGATAAATACGGATGAATGATCATTTAATTCATTCTTGTTTTTCTTTTATTTTTTTAAGATCCTGATGAATTTGAGCGAATATATGAGCCCCTGGATGTCAAAAGTAAAAAGATTCATGTAGTGGACAGCGGGCTCACATTTAACCTGCCGTATCCCTTGATACTGAGACCTCAGAGAGGGGTTGATCTCATCATCTCCTTTGACTTTTCTGCAAGGCCAAGTGACTCCAGTCCCCCGTTCAAGGTAAGGAGACCTACTATGGCATTCCATTCTCTACCACATTCTCTCACTTGCCTTATAGATGTCTCAGTGCCTTTGACTCCGGTTTCTTATTCCTTTAACGTATTTCTTACGTTTTCCTGAGTAATAGTTCTAAAACGCAGACATGATTCAATCAGTCTCCTGCTTAAAGAAACTTTTAAATGATTCTAATGAGCTCAGTAAAGTTCAGAGTCCTGAGCAGGACAAGAATAATACAGTAGGTCTGAAGTTTAGAAAGGAAATGAGGCTGAGATTTGGGAGTTAGCAAGTAAATGATCATGTAAACCGTGCATGGAGAGGGTATGCCCTGAGAAGAGAGGTGGACATAAATAGTACTTTAAAGAGTGCTGTCAAGGGGAAAGGAGGGGAACAAAGGAAGTGTAAAGTGTTATGAGAACTGAAGATATGTAACAAGGAGGTCTTTGGTGAACTGGACAAGGACAGCTTCCATCGGGCTGTGAGGGCAGAAATCAGACCAGAGTGGTTTGAGGGATGGAGACAGTTTTGAGGATTGATCAGGGAAGGGGATAGACTGAATCTGTAAGAGGAAGTGGGAAAAAGAAAGCTGTGTGTGTGGTGGGGGTGGGTTGTTGATAGCAGAGGCAAGCGTGTTTACATACCGATGGTGAGGAGTCGTTAATGAAGAAGGTATGACTGAAGAGGCGAGAGATGAATACAGGATGAAGTCACATCTCTGGGAAGGATGTGGGGGTGGGAAGTGGGAAAGGAATCAGGATACAAACGGAGAACGGTACTGAAATGTCCACGCTGGGGAAATGGCAGCAGATGAACATTTAATGTTAGGTATGCAGAAAGGAAGTTCAGGAAGTACTCATGTAATGCCTTCGAAGTTTTATAGGAATTAGGAGTCAAGGTTATCTTGTAAGAATGAAAATATGGAGGTAGTGGAGTCAGACAGGTGGGGCGAATAAAAGTTCACCTCTCTGAAGAAATGAGAAAAGCTTCTGAAACAACAATATGGAAAATTGCTGGGCAGCACTCAGGCCTCACCCTCAAATAAATATGCTTTGTTCCCTCTGCCTGGAATACGCCAAACATTCTTTAGACACAGCTCAAGAGTTATCTTTCTTGACTTCCACCCGTATGGTTAAAGTGCATAGGACTCAGTAAATTCTTCTACTACAACAATTATCATGGTATATTGTATGTTTTTGCTTTTATATATATTGCTTTCGCTGTCTGTGAACTCCTTGGGACTAGAACTCTGTTCTCTGTGTGTATTTATTTTGTTTTAATCATTTGGTCCTAATTGTCATTTAAGAGCCGGCCAAAATATGAGCATATAGGATTTTTTTTGTAGGTGAATAAATGAAATGCTATAAGAGAGATGGAGTTATTATTTCAGCTTCATAGATGAAGAAGTGGCAATTCATAGCGATTAACAGTTCATGATCTCCCAGCCAGGTGGAGTCAGTGATAGCCCATGTCCTCTGACAGCATATCTGATTTTTTTCTCTGTCATATGATAATTAAACTGCTCCCAAGAGCAGTTTAAAAACCATTAAGTATATAGAAAACCTTACATGTTCAAAGTGCTTTCATACTTGATCTATTTTTGAGGTAGCAGTGGTGTTCAAAGAAACAAGTAACAATGAGATAAAACCTTATCAACAAATAAAATAATATGTGGAATGAGCGAAGCCCACGACCTGGCTAGGGAAGTGCTAGTTAAGAAATGGTGAGATGGTGCTGGGGCCTGTAATCCCAGCACTTTGGGAGGCAGAGGTGGGCAGATCACATGAGGTCGGGAGTTCAAGACCAGCCTGGCCAACATGGTGAAACCCTGTCTCTACTAAAAATACAAAAATTAGCCAGGCATGGTGGCGTGCACCTGTAGTCCCAGCTACTCAGGAGGCTGAGGAAGGAGAATCACTTGACCCTGGGAGACAGAGTTTGTAGTGATCCAGGATAGCACCGCTGCACTCCTGCCTGGAGGACAGAGAGAGACTCTGTCTCAAAAACAAAAGAAACACACACACATGCACGCATGCACACACACACATACACACACACACACACACACACACACACAAATGGTGAGATGGGACCAGACTCCAAAGCTACAGAATGAGAATTTCTTATCCTTTACCAGCTGCCTCCTTTGTGCTCACTGTTCATGAACTCTTTTCTGTGTACTGTGCTGTGTGTAGCAATTAGTGGGAAAATAGGGTTCCTGATCTCCCATAACATTTTGTTTTCGAGAGGGAAAGACTTTTATCCACAAGAGCCACTTGCAGGGGAACTGAGAAACTTACTATTAAATAGTTCTTGATATAAGTTTATATAAGTATGTGTATTATAGGGGATAAATATAAAAATACGTTGGTGCATACTGGAGTTCATGAACAGGGTAATAAATGAAATAGGGTGAAAACAGCACAGAGAAGGCAGTGAGCACATTGAGGGGCTGGAGTGATCTGATTAGAAGCGACATATTCAGCTCCTTTAGGAAGGCTTAAGGAGAGAGTTTAAGGTAGGACATTAAGAAATGCAGAATCAGTGGAGGATTTCAGTAGACAAATGACTTCATGAAATTGGAATTTTAGGATGATTAATCTGACAATGGAAAATAGGATGAATTGGAGAATGGAAGGCAAGGAATTAACATTAAGAGGAACGTATTGTAATCCCAGCATAGGATAATGAAGTACCACGGCACCACAGTGGGTGACTATGAATTTGATGACCTATGAGAAACAGTGGGGAGGTAGGTTTCAATGGGTGACTCTAAGATGATAGCTTACATGCTGGTTCTAGTGGTGGAAGACACTGTATTATTCACTTCACTAATGGGGGTGTAAAATGTCAAAGCCATCATTTTATACATGAATCAGAGCTCCATCACCTTAATGAGTTGAAGGAGGTTTTGGAATATCACTTTGTACCTTTAAAAAGAATCATTATACTTTGCAGTAGTTTTTAAATGTTGACTCATTATTTGTAATTAAGAATATATACTTGTAAAATGTATGAACATTTGGATTATATATGCAATACTTTCAGACAACAGCTGTTAATATTTTGGTATTCTAGTCTCTTTTGTGGGGGGGGGTGTGTCTGTGTGTGTGTGTGTGTGTGTGTGTGTGTGTGTGTGTGAGAGAGAGAGAGAGAGAGAGAGAGAGAGAGAGAGACACTACCAGGGTCATATAGTTTTGTATTCTGTTTCTTTCTACTTACAACTATATTATGAGCATTTTTTCATGCCATTAAATATTTTTAAAAACATAAAGACATATAAGATTTATATAAAAGAGAGCTATATGAGATGTTTATAAAAGAAAATAAAAATATGTAGTATCTCTGTATATAGGTATGTGAGAATTTATTTAACAGTGCTCTATTTTCAACTTTTAGATGATTGCAATCTTGCCACCTTTTTCTATAATCATTACCCTTGCACATGGCTCTTTAATCACATTTTATTTATTTAGGTTGGTTTCTAAATATGTATCACTATGACTTTTAGTTAATATTTTCAGATTGTTTTCACCAATTTACATTACTTTATCTAATTATATAGGTGAGTCTCTGTTTCACATGCCTTTGCTGGCTGGAAATAATATTAAAGACAAAGTAAAAAAAAAAAATTTATGTAATATGGTGAGGAAAAAACCCTCACATTTTTGCTTCAATTCGCTTCCTTTGTGAGACTAAATGGTTTGTCATGCTTATTACATAATGATGTTTTTGAACTACTTTTAATCAGATTATTTGTGTTGTTCCTATTAATAAACATTCTTTTTATGTCTTTTTTTTTTTTTTTTTCTTTTTTTGAGACGGAGTTTCACTCATGTTACCCAGGCTGGAGTGCAATGGCGCGATCTCGGCTCACCGCAACCTCTGCCTCCTGGGTTCAGGCAATTCTCCTGCCTCAGCCGCCTGAGTAGCTGGGACTATAGGCACGCACCACCATGCCCAGCGAATTTTTTGTATTTTTAGTAGAGCCGGGGTTTCACCATGTTGACCAGGATGGTCTCGATCTCTTGACCTCGTGATCCACCTGCCTCGGCCTCCCAAAGTGCTGGGATTACAGGCTTGAGCCACCGCGCCCGGCCATGTTTTAAGAATATTAAAGTTTGTCTTATTTTTGCAAATATGACCTAATAAGTTATTTGTATTGGGATTTTTATTTCTGATGATTTTACTATTTCAATATTTATGTAGGAGCTTCTACCATTGTTTTTATTCTTACGTATGATTTTAAAAATTGTTTTTCAGTATATTTTCTCTTTTATTACATTTTTAAATATTTATTTTTAATTATGTGTGGACACAGAATTTTGTACATACTTTTGGGGTACATGTGAAATTTGATACCATCATATGTGGAATGATCAATTAGGGCATTTGGGGTGTACATCCCCTCAAACATTTATCACCTCTTTGTGTTAGTAACATTCCAATTCCATTCTTTTAGTTATTTGGAAATATCTAATAAATTATTGTTAACAAGAGTCACCCAATTGTGGTACTGAACATTAGATATTATTCCTTCTATCTTGCCATATTTTTGTACCCATTTTCCATTCACTCTTTATTTCCTCTTTCCACTATCCTTTCCAGGAGCTGGTAACCATCATTGTACTTTCTATTTCCATTAATTCAATTGTTTTTAGTTCCCACATGTGAATAAGAACATGTAACATTTGTCTTTCTGTGCCTGGATTATTTAACTTAACATAATGTCCTCTAGTTCTATCCATGTTACTGCAAATGACAGGATTTTGTTATTTTTTTATGGCTGAATATTATTCTATAGCATGGAGTATCACATTTTCTTTATTCATTCATTTGTTGATCAACGCTTACATTGATTCCATATCTTGGTTGTGAACAGTGCTGCAATTAGCATGGGAGTACAGATGTCTCCTCAAGATACTGATTTCTTTTCTTTTGGATATATACCCAGCAGTGGGATTACTGGATCGTATAGTAGTTCTATTTTTAGTTTTTGGAGGAAC